CTGTAACAGCGTCCACGCAGCTTACATACTGTGTACATTAAACAACGCCAGTGTTTTCATGTGTTTGTAATACGTGCCTCTGATGATGGTTTTTCTTGAACCGAAACATGTAAGGCAAGTGAGATAAATAAGTGACCAAAAAACATTGTTACACTCGACGGATTTTTCATTGACAACAAGGATTTTTTCATAATTTAGTGCCTCTAAATGAATATAAATAGCAACAAAGCAAAATACTTTGTTCAATAATTATACACATCATCAAAAGTACTAGTTTTAATATAAATGGTGTTATCATCCATAGCTTAGGCAAATGTAGGTAACTGAAATGATATGTTCTTTTTCATAACTATTTTAATTGATGATATCATGTTCTGGTAAATACAGTAGTTGTTACATTATTTCTGCTTATAATCTTTTTACCTTCTCTTTTTGTGCTTCTTCTCAACTTTCTCTAATAAAAAGTGAAGGTCCTTTTTCACAACTGAAGGTGTTGTATTCTGCTGCATGAAGCAGGCGAGGTTCCCCACAATGATGGTGCTCATGCTGTCAGCCTGAGGCATGGTCACAGCTGTTGGTGCCACTATGACGTGCTTGATACTCTTTGCATGTTGTGCTGGTTTGTCTGCCAGCAGGCAGTGGTCCATGCAGTCAGCCAATACCATGTCCAGCTCCTCCTCCTCTGGGCACTCTCGGCTTGGGCATGGACTCCACCAGACCTGAGGAACAAGCAAGATTGATTTATGGATTGATCGATTTATTGAGTCAATTAAATAATTAATTAATTAAATGATTATGGACCATATGATAAATTACAATGTAGCTAATGTTTGTTATCATTTTTCTTAAGATACAAATAAATCTGAACTTTGTTCAAAGCCATTTCAACCCAGTTCTCATCTAACTTTGAACAGGTGGTAGTTGTTCAGCTGACGAATCAACCTCTTGTTTGTTTAACTCAGAATTTCATCTTTGCAGTCACAAACGCTCACTATTGAACTATGTCATGTGCCAGTTCAAAACACATTTCCCTACGTTTTGTTTTAATATTATCCACCCATCTATACATAGGTATCCTTAGTGGTCTGTTTGTTTGAAAGACAGATTTTGTATGTATTACTCATTTCTTTTATATGAACTACATTTAATGTGTAGCTAATACTTTATTTCATCACCTGAAATGCAGCATGTGAAAAACAATTCTTGAAGTCCCTCATCATATTATTTTCTTTATTTTCTACTTACTCTTGCTCTCATACACCAAAATATTGTCCTCAGCAATTTGTTGTCAATATGGTTTAATTCTTGGTGGGGGCAGGAAGGTTTCCTTTTGCTACCAATTTTCCCATACCAGTTCTACATCACACCCCGAATACCTGCAGATGTACCCCCTGGGATAGAGAGGTCGGAGTGTGAAGCTAACCACTCAGCTCCATCTTGCACCAGGTAAGGAGTACATGTAGCTTAATCTGCATGCTCCTATACATCTACATGGAGCAGTGCTCACACAAACCTTTATTTAGCTGTAATCATGGAAATGGTTGAGAATGCCAAAAAAGGGAGTATCATGAATATAAAAGAAAATTTCCATATATATCACTTTAATAAGCTCAACAAATTGATAGAACAAAAACACACAAAGGAAAGTGACAACCAGTATAATATGTTCGACCTCATAATACAACATCAGTACACGCCCGCACTAACGTCACAGACACAAGGAGTATAAATACACTGTACAACACACCCTACAACAGTAAAAACAACACAGCAGACCACAAACACACACAGGACAACATTAAAGGTAGGACAAAATAACAAAAGTTTTTACAAAACACAATAGGATTGATGAAATAATACAGTATACCCATAATATATTTGTAGAACCCTCTTCTCAAGAACGACAAAGTGGCACACTTTTGGCCCCCGTCATAAGAAATAAAAGAGGGATGACATGAACCAGCTTGGTTTACGAATTCCAATAGAATCATAACAAACTAACTCTAAATATTTTAATGTATTGGAACAGCCGCTGTTGTTGTAAAGACTTTAGATTTTACAGCCAATTGTATATTATTTATGTTGTATGTATATATTTTAACTTTTAGAACATGTACTGTAATAGTGGCTTCTAACTGCATTGATGTAAATGTGTTCCTCTGAAGATGGTCTGTGAAGACCGAAACATGTAATAAGGGCATGAATAATTGAAATAAGAAAATCTTAACCAGTCACACTGGACGGAACTGTTTAACTTTTTCATAATATTAGTGCGACAGACCAGAATGAAACTGTGGGGCTCTTGATGTGTAGTTTTGTCATAACTCCAATGACAACCCACTTCTTCGGAACAGTTTGTTGGTCCTGAAAAGGACCGCGGTTGCTGAGAGGCTTGATTGGAGAGGTAGCGCGGCGCGCGCCGGTAAGGAGAGAGGCTAGTTGCGGTGAGTGGCCTGGCCGCAGTGCGGCCGTGGCTGGAGGTTGCTTGGTTGCCGCGCGGCGGTGTGAGTTGGAGGTTGCTTGATCGCAGGGCGGCGTCTGCTGGTGAAAGGCTAGCCATTGAGCGCGGTCGTAGGAGTGATGAGGCAGTGGCTACACCAGATGCCCAGTGGGTCGGACAGTAACACGACCACCGGCGAGTCCAGGCGCGGTGCCCCAGTGAGTCGGGTGTGAGAGTGCGGGAGGGCCGAGGCAGTCGTGCCTGGTGCAGCCTGCCGATGCCTCCGAAGACCGAGTGCTGGCCACGAAGCCTGCTGGCTGGTGTTGCTTGATCGTAGACTGAAGTCAAATGATGAACTGTATACTCGGCGTTGGAGCTGCCCCTTTTTATACACTGCTCGGTGGGGCGGAGCGAAACTTGAAACTGAGGAGGAAGAATTGATTGGCTAGCGCGCGTAATGACGTAGATGCGGGCTAGCAGTGAGCGCAGTATAAATACGAACGTTTGAAGCAATCTGATTGGTTAGCGCGCGTGATGGTGAAAAGTGATGTGAAGAGCGAGTGTTGCAGAAATGCATGATAATGTGGGATGTTCCCACAAAACAAATCAAATACTTTATGCAGCTGTTTATTTTTATTTTGTCCTCAAACATGCCCAATCTTTGTTCATTCCTCATTAACACAAGACCAAATCTCATAACCACATAGCAGCAAGTTAACATACCTCAAACTGACCAGTCTTTGGGTGCTTCGTAACATAAGCAGATGGCATCTCACCAGGTGTCTCCATGTGAGGAATAAGGAGCAGAGAATGGTGGAATGCTGCATTGAGGATAAGTGACAGCACCATCACAAACTTGTACTGCCCAAACTTGTCTATCAAGTAGCCTGGGGATTATAACATACTGTATAAATAGAACTGCACATTCTGACTCACAGGAACTGGCTGGACCTGTGAGTCTATAGAAAATTTGGGTCAGTGAGTATTTCTTTGAAGTTCCATTTTATCATTACCATGAGTCTAAAACCATCATTTTTTAGAATTATAAGTATGATAACTGTTCCTGGCCCAACTCATCATTTGTCATACAGAAGAACCATTAGGAATAAGTACAATTATCAGTTTTTGGTAACAGGAAAGTTGTCCCTTTTCCCCTGCCAATCTTCATTCCACCAATTGCTCCACAATCACCCTCACCTATCATTTTGGGCTGGTACAATAGGTCAGAAGTGGCCACAGTACAAGGGACTTAGTCCCACCCCACTAGCAATAAAAAAAAGTCCCTATGGTGAAGTACCCCTCCACAAAGACATATGAAGGTGTGTTGGTGGAGCTCCACACCTTTGAGTGACTAGCATCATGCTCTGGCCATTTAAAACAGAAAATAATTTTTTTATGTGTTACATTATTACATAATCTTCCAGGTTAATTGTATTTTGCTTTCCGAGTTACTTATAAGTTCTTGGTAGTACAATCATGGTCATAGGTGTAGTAAATTTAATTACATGCATCTTCTTTAGATTAAGGACTAACTGATTATTTTGAAACCATACATAGATATGATTCATTATTTTATTTATTTTATGATTCAATGTTGTGATGTCTTTTGAGGAAACAATAATGGAGGTATCATCTGCATAAAGAATGGTATGAGCCAAACCATCTAATGTACTTGGCAGGTCGTTAATGTAAACATTAAATACTAATGGTCCCAAGACAGAACCCTGGGGAACACCATGTCTGCAGGTTACCCATCTAGAAAGAAAGGTGGTTGAGTCATGAGTGTGTAATACAGTTCTCTGTTTCCTATTATGTAAATATGATTTGAGCCATTTCAAAATACATCCTTTAATACCATAATGTTCTAACTTTTGGATTAGTAGGTTGTGCTTGACACAATCAAAAGCCCTTGTAAGGTCACAAAATACACCTACCACTAGTTCTTTGTTATTCCATGCCTTATAAATAGCTTCTGTTAGTTTGAAGATAGCATTTTGTGTACATATACCATTTCTGAATCCAAATTGCCCATCCACAATAATAATATTGTTTGTCAAATGTTGTTTTAGACTATTAAAGACTAATATTTCAAATAATTTAGAAAAACCTGTCAATAAAGAAATAGGCCTATAATTAGATATTTCAGTTGTATCACCTTTTTTAAAGCATGGTATAATGTTGGCGTATTTTAGTCGATCTGGGTATATGCATCTCTTGTAAAATAGTCGATATCAAGATATTCTCTCTTGATTCAAACACCTTATTCTTTTGAGTCTACCACAACAGGAACCATTCACTTTTTGTCCTTATTTTCCCAAATTTCAAAGAAGATGAAACTGAAGTGTTCCAGCAAGATGGAACACCACTCCATTTTAGCAGCTGTATAAAATTCATAAAAAAAAGCTTTTCGCTGGGCCAATGCATGAGACAATTGGCCCTATTTCATAGGCCCTGTGCTCTGTATTTAAAAACCTTTTATTCTGTAGGTGAGTATATGCTGAAAGTGTTCACACTGTAAATTCTTTTAACATCCTTTTTGTATCCTAGTATTTCATATACTGTTATAATACTATGTATTTTATATACACATATATGTACACACACACACACACATACCTTGTATGTCATGTGTGTGTGTGTGTGTCTCTGTCTGTGTCTGTATTAGTGGCTTTAAGGGGCTATAATACTCACTTAAATGAGCAAAAGTCCCAGTCATCGCATGCCCAAAAGTCAGTGCCTACTGAGATGTTCCCATAGTGAGAAGAGTGGAAGAATATACAGGGACCAGCGTGTGAAGAATTGCAGCTACTGTAAGTTAACGGTGTTCCCCTTGTCTGCAGAATTCTCCATTAACAGTCACCTTAACCCTACCACACCCAGTGAGTGCAAGCCCATGCTCCACCTGACAGTTGTGCAAGGGTGGTGTTTTGCCAGTGGCTTCTCACAAAATGCGTTGTAAACACACAGTTTGTAGCTAACATCCTGTTTACTGATGAGGCGGGATTCACAAGGGACGGTGTTATGAACTTTCGTAATACCCAAATCTGGGTGGATGGCAACCCCCACACCACCATGGCATCAAGACATCAGTATCGATTTTCCATCAATGTCCGGATTGGCAGCTGATGTGATCAAAATGTTAGGATTAGCTGTCTTACCCAACAGACTAACAGGTGTAGTGTACCATAATTTGGGGGGGAAATGATCTTGCAGTGCATTGGAACATGTGCCTCTTCACCAATGACAACACATGTGGTTCCATGCATGATAGGGCACCACCTCATTTTCTCCACATTGTCAAACAGCATCTGAACATGACTTTCCATGAATAGTATATAGGAAGTGGAGGCCCGGTTAACTGGCCTGCATAATCCCCTAACCTGAATCCTATACATCTTTGGCAATGGGGACACTGAAAGACTTTGGTGTATTCAGCACTTAGAGGTATTACAACAATGAGCAGAGAATGTCTGTCAGGAGACTCAAGTGACACCTGGCATGTTTGACAGATTGCACACCTCTCTGCAACAAAGAGCTGGAGGTTGTGTTCAAATGCATGGGTACCACATTGAGCATCTGCTATAGAGATCAGAGATACGTCACCCATATCTCAGTAGACACTGATTTCTGGTCATGCAATGAGTGGGATTTTCTTTGCTCATCTGAGTTAGTATGGCGCCCCATAACGCATGTAACCCCTTTTTTAACACCCAGCATGGAACACACTGAAGAACTTGACAGTTCACAGAGATGTTTATGTATCATGAAGTACAAGCACTATTGGTACAAACATAATATTTATTCCAATTAATTGAATTCTTCCAGATAAGGCTTAGACTATCACAGCATTGCCATATTTGAAATCTTTAAAGCAAAATGCTTCATAGAAAATTTGTAGACATACAAAATTCACATCTCTTACTGAATAGGTTCATTAATCATGTTAAATACAGATGTTGTGTAACTCATGTCTTACATTTTAGCAAGAATATTTCAGGACATTAAATTAAGTGCTCTTAATATTTTCACTCCCACCACTGAAGTTTACACGTCTACAACATTAGTATTATTCATGGTAGAGAATTATGAATTATGAAGGCACAGTATGAATACTTTACATCCCTGAACCCATATAAATTGAAAATAATACAATAATAGAAGAACAAGCGGAAGAGGAGGAGGAGGAGGAGGAGGGGGAAGAAGAAGAAAAGGAGACAAAAGTTACAGGGTGAAGACAGTCTGTTTCTCTCTCTCTCTCTCACACACACACACACACACACACAGAGGATGGTACTCAGAACCCACCATTCTCTTGAAAGGAAAGTAGGGTGATAAAATTATGGTGAATATACAAGCTCTGAACTGACTGTACATACCAGTGATAGGGGGACTAAGGAACGTTGTGAGTGGAAGCGCCAGGTACACCATTGAGATTTCGTCAACTGTCAGCCCGATGCTCTGCATGTGGATGGTCAGGTACGGCAACAAAGAAGCTGTCGCTGCAGCAATAAGCATTCCACATTAATTTGCCTCTCTCATAGCTACAGATTACAGCAAATAAGAAATGCATACAAAATTTTGGTCACAAGTTCTGAAGAGAACAGACTAAATTGGAAACCTTGGAATACACAGGAGAATAATATCCAAATGGACAATAGAAAGTAGGGCATGGAGTGAATTCTTCTGGTTGGGGTGGGGTAGGAGAAGAAGGTAATGAACCGTTATGTTCCACACTATTCACTTCAAACATGAAAACAGATGCAACATGTTTCTCTGAAATGTTAGTATGCACCTACAATATCACAACCCCAAGGCCGCAGTCTGTATGTGTTTGTTTTGTTTCTCAGACATCTTATTTTTATAGCCTTATATTAACATTTATAGACAATCCATTTCAATGCTGTAAAAGTGTAGGAGTGAGGTCCAGGTGGCCAAGCATTACATTTCTCAATACTAAACTGCAATCCTTGAGTTTAAATCTGTGAACCTCATAATAACTGGAGATTTTAAATACCTGGACAAGAAAAGTTAACAGCTGACAATGAATCATTGCTCATATTTAAGAGGAAACAAATAAATATGTAAGAGGGCCTTTCAAGCGAGATAAGTGACAAAATATATATATATATATAAAGTGTAGACTTAAGTTAAATTAAGCTTTCATTATAAAATAATTAAAAGGTTACATGTGTTTGTTGATTTTGATTTTCCATCATCAGACTTTTATGTATTAAATGTGGAGAGGAAGCTTTATGTGAACGTTTTTGTAAACATATGATACATACATACAAAAGACAGTACAAATGTGATATGTAGGTATTGTTAAAAGGACAAGTATTGGGATAGGTGCAGGGCTTTTTATGAAAAGAAATGAGAGTATAAGTTTGGATTGTACACCATTGTGCAAAGAATTAAGCTGTGCTTGTTGTGCTGTCTTGTAGTGATGATGATTCTGCAGTGGTTGTTTGTCAAGGGAAATCCCTCACCATGCTCCAGACATGTAATATTTTGATTACATATAAATTATTTTACAATAAAAACTATTTTAGTGAACTGTATACTTTTACATACATTTAATTAATATGATGAGAATGCAAACATTCACTTTTAAATAAATCAAAATGCTGAATACTTACCTGCATTTATTAATACATATTGTGCAGTCTTAAGATAGTCCTTTTTATAAGTTTATATAGAAAGAAGACAAACCAGTTCAAAATTTCATATTTTATATCACAAATCTTAAAGTGATCAGACTTACCACCATACATCATGAACAAAGTCACCTTCAGCATTATAAGGTATGGATTTATATGCAATCTTTCCAAAGTTGAGAATATTTTGTATTCAAACTTTCTTTCTTCATTCTTCTCGCTCATTTTTGTTGTGATGTACAGATTGGTCCTCCTTCCATAGATTTCTGAACAAGTTCAATCATTTAAGTAAAAAGCATCAAGAGAAAACCTTCTGGAATGTTGTTGCATACTTCACTGCAGCAATGCTGTGAAAGCATAAGATAAGGTACCAGTTTGTTTTCATGCCATATCATAAATTTGTAGTTCTAAGGAATGTTTGCAAACCAGAGCCATATTTTTTGCATATCTTCAGTGAGGTTCATTGTAGCAAGGAACAAACACTATGAAACACATAGGTAGGATCTAATCCTTCTGCTCTTACTTATAGGTTTATTATTATTAACATTATATACACTGCAGAAGTTGTGAAAGAATAATTATTATATTTGACAAGAAGTAGTCATGAATGAATGAATGCATAAGGAGTGGATCATAATAATCCGGCCCTTGCACTGTGAACTTCAATGATCTATTTTGCTTCCCCTTTTTTATTAATGCTTTATTAATCCAACATTTTAAATGAAATAGGATGCGTCATAATGGTTGCTGGGTTCCTTAAAAACAGGCCCAGGCGACAAAATCTTAAAGAAGCTATGGCCTCACAATCACATAGGATGTATGTAACTGATATTTTTCCAGGCACCGTTAATAAGTGGGCTCATCTGTCAATCCCAGTTAGGTGACAGTATCCTGTAAATAGTCATACCGACCATCTTAATTGGTCTTTGTTTATTTTATCAGATCCTTTATTCTAGCAGAGGGCCCTAGTATAAGTTCCTTTGCATGTTTGAGTCCAGTTACAGATTCCCAATGTATTTTATGATTTCTTTTTGTCCAGTCCCTGATCGCTTTCTTGGCAACTCTAATTGAGATGCTGCAAGCTGGTTCAGGTTCTATGAACAGATGTTCAGATCGTGTTCTTGCCAGCTGTTCTGCCGTTTCATTCCCAGCAATACCCTCTTGACCCGGCACCCATATCAGTTGAACTCTGTTATGTCTGGCCAGTTGTATGAGGGACTGATGTCAGTCACAGACCAGTTTGGAGGAAATGGGATGCTGCCTGGTACAATGAGGGGATCATTCATGAGACTGGCTAAATTCCACTCCAGTGCCATGCCTCACACCTTGGCTTAGGTGGCTTGGTCCTGTTAAAGGAGAATAGATCCCTCACATGCCTCCAGGACATGAAGTGCACATGTGGGGGGAAAGGGGTATTCTAGATAAGCAGTGGGATTGCAACACTAACTAACCATGTGTTTGCGACCAGAGAAAACCCCATGAAAGGATCACCCCTGGGGTTGGCAAATCACCCCTCATTCACAGTCCTCCACATGAGTTGGCTAAAACTTTTTAGAGTGTTGAGCCCAAAGGCTTGAGGCACCTTAACAATAATCTAGGGAAACAACTACCACCATATGAGTGCTCTCCTGCATTCGTCCCTGGCAAACCATAGTAATACCTGTGAATTATAATGCTGCTGCGTGGGAGGCTCCAGTTGTAAGATGTGATTGCCCTTTTTTGGGAACTTAGCCGCCAGTCCTTGTTTGTCATACTAATCCAGACCCTGAGGCTGATGTTACCCAGCAGGACCACAAGGAGGTGTCCCAAAGCTGTGTCCCTCTGTTCCATGATGTGCCCCCAGCAGAGACACAGCCCTCGTTCGGGTAACCTCATTGAGGATGGTGTCATTACTACCTGCAATGTATAACATTAGATAAGTCATAGTTACTCCAACATTAAGTAGTCATAGCCTATATAAAGATACTGTCCCTGCGCTGTTTGACTTCAAGGATGACAAAACTCATGAAATCTCCAGTCAGGAGTGACAGTGCAGTAGTTAAAATTGAAAGTGGGTACATCGTGAATAATACAAACGAGATGTGTTAGAACTCGGTTGCAACCACTGTGGCCTCTGAAACTAAGTGTGAGCCAACTTTATAATCAGTTTGGAATTGGGAATCTAAAACCAGCAAACTCGAGTTTAATCTATTACTCTCAGAGCATAGCATTATTTATTACAGTTATTATAAAGAAAAAGCAAAGTTGTTCCCCTGCTTAACTAATTAAGCACTACACACTGAAGACGTATGGTAGAATGGATGTATAACTCCATATCTTCTTCAGCTAGGCACTAATTGGAGGTGAATGGTCCATTATTAACATCTCGAAAACTTCAGACGTTTGTTCGCATCGGTGGTTCAGTGGTAGAATGCTCGCCTGCCACGCGGGCGGCCCGGGTTCGATTCCCGGCCGATGCAAGTTTTGCTGCTTTATGTAATAAACATTCATTTTCTTTGAAGTTCTAGTTTTATTTTAACAACAAAGAAGTACTAATATATATGTTTTAATACTGTAATGTTACGAAATGTGAGGAAATTCGTTAATCCATAGAGATTGAATACTCGGAACGGTTGTAGACATACTGGCATGTTAAAAGGTTGCCACATAGTATATGCAGTGCTTTTCGGCTTCCGTTAAGTAACTGAAGATTGTAATTCTTACTGTACGCCTTATCCTAGAATACGTTAACATTGTTGTATCAAAATTGACAATGATCTTTCGAAACGCAAGCTTTTGACTGCAGTGAAGCTAGCCATAACCAGCACCTCGAACGAGACTACATCAATCCCATGATCCTGAGTTGCAGCAGACAACCGCCATATTGCTGCGATGTGTATTTGGCTTGCGGTTGTGTAAATAAGTGTGTGTGAATCTACTGTGGACATTGTCGAAGATACAGTGTTTCCTAATTTATCACTGAGTATTGAATTCATATGGATTATGTGGGCGTTGTTATTATTCCGGGTAGGTGACATTTGGAGGAGTAAATTTACTCCTCAACTGAGATTATTTTTGGGAGTAGGTCCCATTTCGACAGCCTAATATGGCTGACAATTTAAGTCAAAAATTAGGTAAATCTAGCGAGAAAACTAAATATAGCAACGCAGTTAACCGTACTACTAGTGAAACAATGCGTCTGGGGGAGCCTGAAAAAGCAGTGAATCATCCTACGTCTCTTATATCGGCAACACCCAATCAGAGGAAGAAGACACCATCTTTTCAAATAACAAGTGTGACTGTTGGTTCTCGTACTAGTAACGACGGAGGTGATGATTCGGCAGATGATTTGGACGAATCCCATACAGATGATATGTCTGATGTCATAGACAATTCAAGAATTACTGATATTGAAAATGAAACTCCCAGTTATTCAGAAGATACATTTTCGAAAGAGGATGTGTTTTTCAATGCCTCTACAACATCTCTTGGAACAGCCCCTGTAATTCCGACGAGTTCTCAGTATGGCCTTGCAATAGTTGCTTCCGAGGGTGGAGGTAATGTTATCAATGCTACAGTTGCTTGTGCAAACACTATTTCAGGTAATGAAGTTCATGTAAGTGTGACTGATGCAGGAAACGTTATTAACATAGTAGGTAGTGTAAAACCTAACGAAACAGAAATGAGGGACGTTCATGCTCATCATGCAGGGCGCAACGAGCGTTTCAAGGTAGTGAAAATAGAGAGCACAGAACCTTTCAAACGAGGACGATGGTTGTGCATGGACTACTTGGATCACACAATGCTTCAGCAGCAATCACAGCAAGCAGTGATCAATGTAGTGAGATCAACTGACTTGAGTGATAATACTACAGCAGGATCAGCTCAATATGTGGGACCAGATAGTGGTGTTGTCCTCACTGATGGTCCCCTGACTCTTCAAAGTATGGACGATCCAATTATAAATGCTGAACAGTCGCAGCTGAAGTCGTCTGCCATGACAATACAAGAACAGCATCAGGTAATGGGGGTTGCTCAGCACCAGGTGACTATGGCAGGCCTTGCATCAGGCCAGAGTGCAACTGGGTCAAGTAATTTCCCATCTGTTTCTCCAGGACAGACCTTACAGCAGGTGCAACAACCTGGACCAGTGCAGCCACCACAGCAACATGTGTCTGTAACATCACAGCCCCATCAAGGTCTGCAGCAGCAAGCATTGCCACAGCCACTTTCACAGAGCATGCAGCAAGGTGTTAGTCAACAGCAGATGCAGCAGCAGTCACAGGGCATGTCTGTAGCACAAGTTTTACAGCAACAGCAGCAGCATCATGCACAGAGCATGTCACAGGTTCCTGTCCAGCAAAATGTGGCAGCTGGAGCACCACAGCAGCCACAACCTGTTGCACAGCATCAAAGCTTACCACCACAACAAATCCAACAAGTAATGGCTGCTGCAAATTTGCAACAAATGCAGCAACAGCAAGGCTTAATGCCACAGCAAACTCAGAAGCCTTTTCCACCACAGCAGAATGCGGGACAACAGCAAATGTCTTCACAGTCAGTTCCCCAAGGTATGATACCTGCCCAGCCGTCTCAGTCGCAACAACATATCATATCTCAGTCAGGTCAGTCACAAGGGCAGTATTACAACATGCCTTCTACCACGCAATTAGGGAGTGTCCCCATTTCACAGGGACAGTCAGGCATTCAAATGGTGTCCCAGCAGCCCCATACTTCCATTACTGCTCAGACACAAACAATGCAGACTTCCACGCCAAATCAGATACCATCTGGAATAACAGCTTCACAGCTGCAGCAACCACAGACAGGAACATCCATGCCACTACAGCCTGTGACACATCATCAGATACAACCAGTCACTTCCCAGAATCAGTCTATGCAGCCTATTGGTCAGCCTTCAGTACCACAGCAAGTACCGTCACAGACTTCTCAACAGCATAATATTCAGCAGTATGCACAACAGTCATTGCAACAGGTACAGCAAACGCAACAGCCGGTTCCACAGTCACAGCAGGCAGTGGTGCAACCACAGCAAGCAATGCAGCAGCCACAGAAACCGATGTCACAGCAAGTAATGCAGCAGCCGCAGCCTCAGCAGACATTACAGCAGTCACAACAGTCAATTCAGCCGCAAGTTATGCCACAGGCACCGCAGGCAGTACAACAACAAATGCATCATTCTGCAAATATGCAAAATGTCCAACAACAGCAACAGCAAATTCATGTTGGTAATCTCCCTGGCATTGCACAGCAGCCAGGCCCAGCGCCAATGCCAGCCATGGTTCAAGGACAGGGCATGATACCGGCATCACAGGGTCAGAATTTAATAACTGGACATCAGATGGCCATGGCTGGTGGGCAGCAAGTTCCACAGCAAGCACCACAAATGGTACCTGTGTCATCTAGTGTAGTGACAAATATTCCAGGCGCTTCCCAGACATTTTCACATATGCCAGTGAATCAAGTGCCCATTCAGACTTTCCCAACATTGGGACCGACCACTGTGTCATCACGGACCATACCAAGTTGCACAGGGACAAATTCAATGAGTGTTGGATTGGATGGAACAGTGGATCAAGGTGCAGGATTGGGAGCAGCAAATGTTATTGGTGGTGACCCGTCAGTAGCGTTACTGGAGTCACTGGTGGAGGTCACAACAAACGAGGACATTCAGCCAGGAGGTGTAACAGCTGGTGAGGATGCAGAAAGGTAAGACTTCTTGTTAACAGGTTTCAGAATTAAAGGCATGTCTTTATTGTTTGGCGACCAGTTTTATGTGTTGGGCAAGTTATAATCACCTGTAAATAAAGTACGGGTTAAGATGCTAAGTTAGGTTAGAATGGTCTAGGTGCTGAAGAATGTGGGTCAGTTCTTATAACTTTTTATGTGTTCCCAATTTGGTCACATTTTGCTTCGCTTCTCATGCTTGGGTATGCCAACGGTACAAGGAAGTTTCCAGAACCACCACACTTTTCCATTATGGATACAGGCATAAGTAAAACATGGAAACTGCAGATTGAGAGACAATATTGTGATATTTTCTTGTAGTTCTCGTAGAATAATGTAGTATAGCATTTGTTTTTGGGGAGTGTTGATACACTGATAAATAATATTATATGCAGATGCATGTGTGTATTCAGAATTAAAAATTGATCTTCCTCTTTTACAAAATTTAGACTGACTTGGTTTTGAAAATACAACAGTGAACTGAGGATATATACTAGACTGTCATTTCTTTGCCCCCTCCCCCCTTTTTTTCCATTTGTAGCTGATATTGTATGTCTGTGTTGATGCGTATTTTAGTTCGTCGTTGATATCCTACGTGTCTGACATGAGGAGTTTGTCATCGAGTTTGAACTGTTGTTTATTGTACATACTTGTTGCTTGAATTTCTTTCCTCTAGATTAAAACTGGTGAAGGTAATAAGGTAAGGTAAAGCTATCCATTTAAGAGGCTCTAAAGGCCCATAGGGTTGTGAGATGTTGAGGCTCCCACATTTTCTCTAGACAACCGGCTCACAGATGGCGATTGGGTTGTCTGCCTTATGTGCAGGCTGCACTTTACCCCCCCAGAAATATTCCTGGTACTCATTTCTGTTAGAAGCTGAGTCAACTCCAGGGCCACAGTGTGGCTGGAAGGATTATCAATTGAAAAAATCGACCCATCTGATATATAAGGTTTCTTGCCTTCAGCTCATTGAGAGTGAGGCTTTTCACACTTCTGCAATGAGAGTAAATATAGTTAGATTTGTCCCACGCATGTCACAGTTATGTTTTCAGTAGTAAGACTACTCTTGACAATCTCAAAAATTCCTCAGGCTCCCTACACAGGAGACTGCGTGTTCAGTTTTCCAATTTGAAGGTTGCCCTGTTTTGAAGAAAGAGCTTCTACACCTGAATGTAAATTTAGATTTGCCAGGAATGTGTTCTTATCAGAGAGCAATTCAAGCTTCTGTTATAATCAGGATAAATTTAATTGTAATGTGTTAGGCAGTGCATTTATGTTTTTCTGCAGTGAGATCTTTGTGAGCTCCCATGTGAAATGCTCCTCCCATCAACTGAGGCCCCCAGAGCTTTTGGGTGCTACAGAAGTGATGCATGTACCAATAAAATAGTCTTATTACAGCAGATGCTCTTCACTGTTTCACATGCATTGTGGAAGTAGAGAAAACTGCCCTGCAGATATTTTCTTTCATTTCTTCTTTTGTGTGGAGGGTTTGATCTGAAACTTCTGCTGTCTGGTTTTCCTTGGATAACATTCACATCGGTCAAGCTCAGGAGGGTGCTGGCCACAGAATCTTCCTCCTGTGTGTGCCCTTGCTGTATGCGGAGGAGTGGAATCTGGCTGAAAGCATGCATACCAGTCAGCATTCTTGATTTGTTGCTGCTTGAAAAATGGAAGGAATGTCAGCACCACATATCTGTCAGAAGTAATTGTGTTTTCGAAAGAAAATGAGCCCAGTTATTCAATCTGTACTCCCACAGCTCTGTACTTCAGTTTTATAACCTCATATATTAGTTCTGAGTTATGTGAACTCCAGTAGCTGTTGGCTTGTAAACTGACCTCCCTGTGTGAGACCAAGCATCATTGGAAAAGAAAATCAGGTTTACCATCAGGAATTGACTAATGGACTAAAGATGGTTGCGGAGGACATTGGAGCTTTGCAGTGCAAACTCTAGACATTACTAGGATGATGAAATCAGGCACCAGAAGTTGAGCAGGATGGGTATAGCACACATAAGAGAGATCAGAAAACCTGAAGGGAAGAGACCATTTGGAAGACCTACTCATGGATGGGAAGATAAGATTGAAATGGATCTGAAGGAACTAGGGTGGAATGGTATTGGCAGGATCCACCTTACTTAAGTAGGGCCAAGTGACAAGGTCCTGTGAAGAAGGCTTGGTTTTCATAATAGGCAGAGAATTTCTTGAATAGCTGAGCAGCTGTTAGTTTCTCAGGAAGAACTGCATTCTGAAGTCAGTTAGTTGGTTAATGAGTTTAGTTGCATTTCACACATCGAGTACTGCTGTTGTAAATAGTTCAGGAAGTTTTGTGACAGTTTGTGCTGATTATTTTGAAATCCAGGTCTTAAGTGTAAGGTGTGTCAAGAATTTATGATGAAAATGTTCGATCATAGTGCCAGTTTAATCCATTTCCTTGCCAGTGAGCATTTTGACATTTCACTTTATAGCCTGCTTTCCTTACATTGAAAAAATAAAACTAGGCTTATGAGATCACTAACTAACTTACTCTCTTAAGGAGCTGAGTCCTTCTTGACGAGAAGCCAAATCTGCAGCTACTCAAGAATTTCCCAGCATTTTATGGAACCCGAAGGTTCATTACCATGTTTACAAGAGCGCTTGATTGGTCTCTTTCCTGAGCCAGATAAATCCAATCCATACCATCCCATCCTATCTCTCTAAGGTACTTTTTAATATTGTTCACCCACTTACGCCTTGGTCTTCCCAGTGGTCTCTTTCCTTCTGGCTTTCCCACCAATGTCCTATATGCATTCCTTGTCTCCCCCATTCGTGCTACATGCCTTACCCACCCCATCCTCCTTGACTTGATCATTCTAATTTTACAATACTTGGAGAAGAGTACAAGTTATGAAGCTCCTCATTATGCAGTTTTCTCCAACCTCCTGTCACTTCATCTCTCTTTGGTCCAAATATTCTCCTCAACACCCTGTTCTCAAACACCCTCAGTCTGTGTTCCTCCCTTAATGTCAGAGACCAAGTTTCACACCCATACAGAACTACCGGCAAAATTATATGTTTGTATATTCTAATTTTTGTGTTTTTGGACAGCAGACGAGAAGACAAAAGGTTCTGGACTGAATGGTAGCAAGCATTACCCGAGTTCAGTCGCCTCTTAGTTTCCTCCTGAATCAGGTTTTGGTTATCGTTGTTCCCAAATACCTGAACTGTGCCAAATTTTCAAAATGCCTGTTTTCTATCGTTATGTCATGATTTTGCCCTGCATTTTGTTGACAAGACAGCAACATATAGTTAGTTATCTCTGTGTTTACTTCTAGACCAACCTCCTTACTTGCATCAGTTAAAGTTTGTGTTTTTCTTTATGGTATCTATATTATCACCCAGTCGATTCACATCATCGGCATAGACCAACAGCTGATGTGTCCCGTTTAATTTCAGACCCACCTGGTTTCCCTGGTCCTTCCTAATGGCATATTTTAAAGCAAAGATGAAAAGGAGTGGCAATAAAGCATCACCTTGTCTTTAAATTCTTATCTATATGGACTTTACTATAAGTTTCCTTTAAACACATTTTAATCAGCTTAACTAGTTTCACTGGTATCCCAAATTCTATCAGAATATTCTACAATACTTCCCTCATAACTGAATCATACACTTTCTTGAAGTCTACAATTAGCTGATGTACTGTCTCATTGTACTCCCATTTTTTCTCCAATATCTGACGAATGCAAAAGATCTGATCTGTATTTGGTCTGTTATGTCGGAACCCACACTAATGATCCCCAATAATTTCATCTATATGTGGACTTAACCTTGAGAGAATAATATTGGATTAAATTTTGTATGAAGTTGATAGCAGTGATATCCCCCGACAATTACTACAGTCAGTTTTATCACCCTTCTTGTGAACTGGTACAATAATAGACACGATCAGGCAATTTTTACTTATGCCAAATAGAAGTAATTCCCTTTTGGATCTTAGAATGTAATATTTCGCATCCTGCTTGAACAAATTCTGCCAGAATTTGATCACTACCTGGCATTATATACCTTTTCAATTTTGCAGTAACACTTTCAACCTCAAAAAGGTTTAGGATCAAGTATTAATGGCTCAGCTGTTTGCATTTCTATCTGCCTAACATCACTGAACCGATATACATTCAATAACTGGGAGAAGTAGTTCCTCCACCTATTCAAAATGTTGTGGGAATCTGCAAGCAGATCACCATTCTCATCCTTCACTAAGTTACTGCTAGGCTGGTAACCCCTCTTAAAGTCATGTATTCCTCTATACAGGTCTCTCACTGTAAGCTCATCAATTTTGTCTTTCAGATATTCCCTCTTTTTGTTCCTGAAATGCCTGCTGGTTTCATGTCTTATATTGTTCAGATTATCCTTATTTATTTCTCTTGGTTCCTGTAACGATTGCAATTTGGCCTGCTTTCATTGGTTTAGTAATTCTGAGCATCCTTCATCGAACCATGGCTTATGGTTCTTTGGTTCATAATAATCTACACTCTCTTTGGCAGACATTATGATATTAACATCCACCTCAGTGTCCAAGTTTTCCAAAGCCGCGAACCTATTTGAGATTTCAACACGACACTGCTCTTTACCCTCTACCTCAATTAATTTCTTGAGATTGAACCTTTCCATATGAATTTTGTGCATTGTTTGTTTGCTCACTGCCAGTCTTTCCCCAAATTTTGCCATGACCAGGTAGTGGTCAGTATTGCAATCTGCTGTCCTGAATGATCGGACATCAAGTATGCTTGAGTACCGACTCCTGTCTATCAAAATATGGTCTATTTGATTGTGTATCATGCCATCAGATGGTGCCCAAGTAAATTTATGGATGTTAGGATGTGGGAACGTTGTACTTTTCACAGTAAAATTTTTTGATGTACTCTAACTCCATTATCATTACTAATTTCATGCAAACTCTCATTCCCAGTCTTTGGTTGGAAAATGTCTTCCCTCCCTACTTT